CCACCATCCCTTCACTGACTGTCCCAGTCCCTGTGGGAAATACCCTCCTACTCGTTGTGTACGTGCGCAGAAGGGGTTTCCTGGTTACATATACGCTCCTGTCAACATCCTGATCCTTGGGCAGAGTTTGCCACGCTGCCAGGAGTTAGTGCCATTCGAAATCTACCCTGTGGCAGAATTGGCACGTCTTCCTGCCACCCTCACTCATTGGCTGGCAAACCCAAAGGGAGCACATGATTGAGGAGCCACGGGAGCGAGGATTAAAGTCATTGACAGATTCTCCACCTGTGACTTGGGGGCTGGGTTTTTTAAAACCCTCTGAAATGCCTAAATGGGATAGAGAAACAAAGCAGTTCGTGTACTCTATTGTCTGCAATTGAATTATTCGAAAAGAGCGTGGTACTGACTGAGCCACAACTGTCTGCTAACACAGAGGCTGCGACAGAATACTTTTTCCAGTAATCATCCGTCATTGCCAATGGGGCCTCCTCACAGCAATGTTGGCTTAATGTATCTTTGCCAAGATTAAAAAATCAATACTTAATTTTTAGTGGCCTGTTCGTAGGCCATAATAGAGAGCGAAATATTATTACGTTTTGGATTCAGCCATTTATCATAGCTCCCTTTTAAAAATAAAAGCCTGGAGGAAAGATAAATACGAAAACAATACAGATAGAGAACGTGAATCATTTTGGAGATGTCCCATCATTTTGAGTTGATTTCTTGACTCTCAGGATTGACATCCTCATGAGAACTGCTGAGAAGCTGAACACGAGCCATTTCAGACCTATCACAGTGCATGATGGGCATTTTTGTCTCTTGAATGGTTTACACTTCATTTCACTTAATGCTTTAACCTGAATTGAAAATAAATATTCAGTATTTCAATCCATATTGTATCACTCAAGTCACACAGTTGGTCAATTTTACACCCACATTACCTTGCACAATGTCACAACATCACTGTTAATCAAAGTCAATATATTAAATTATTCTCTGCAGCATAGTCAGTACCTGGAAAATCAAAAGACCGTATCAGTTGTTGATGTGTTTGCATTTATGCTGATATAAGTTGTGTTTCTGTAGTTTGTTTGTAGTTCCTTATGGTAGATTTACCAAAGCCTGTGGTAATTTCTGTAATTTTAGCTAAATGACTTTCACTTTACAAAGTAGAAATAAGTGGATTTCAACATGTTTCGAGATTTTTTTCAAAATTTATTCTTGGAATGTGGGATGGCCTTGAGAAGGTAGTAGCGAGCTGCTTTCTCCATCCACTGTAGCCCGTGTGCTGTAGTAGAGCCGCAATGTCATTAGGGAGGCGATTCCAGGATTTTGAACCATGACAATGAAGGAATGGTGATATAAAGTAGAACAGATATTTAGGATCATCCCACTCGTCCCTGTCTTTAAGCAATTGTACCAGAGTCAGGTGGAGCTGGGCAGATCTATCCTCCTCAGGGTAGCCATAGGGCCATAGAGTTACACAGTACAGAAACAGACCTTTTGGTGCAACTCATCCACACTGACCAGATATCCGAAATAAATCTAACCTCCTTTGCCAATATTTGGCCCATATCCCTCTAAACCGTTCCTATTCATATACCCACCCGGATTCCTTTGAAATGTTGTAATTGTACCAGGCTTCACCACTTTGTCTGGCAGCTCACTCCAATCAGACACCCCCCGCTGTTTGAAAATGTTGTCGCCGAGGTCCCTTTTAAATTTTTGCTCTCTTACCTTAAATGAATGCCCTTGAGTTTTGAACTCCTCTACCCTGGGTTAAAGACCTTGCCTATTCACCCTATGTATGTCCCTCATGATTTTATAAACCACTATAAGGTCACCCCTCAGCCTCCGATGCTCCAGGGAAAATAGCCCAGCCTATTCAACCTCTCCCTATAACTCAAACCCTCTAACCCCAGCAACATCCTTGTGATTTTTTTCTGAACCCTTTCAAGTTTAACAACATCTTTCCTATAGCAGGGAGACCAGAATTGAATGAAGTATTCTGAAAGCGGCTTAACCAATGTCCTGTACAGCTGCAATAGGACCTCCCAACACCTATACTCAATGCACTGACCAATAAAGGCAAGTGTACCAAAGGCCTTCTTCAATACCCTGTCTTCCTGTGACTCCACCTGCAAAGAACTATGAACCTGAACTCCAAGATTTCTTTGTTCAGCGACACTCCTCAGGACCCTACAATGAAGTAGACTGAGGAACACAGCAGGCCATGCAGCATCAGAGGAGTAGGAAAGTTGACATTTTGGGTTGGGATCATTCCCTGCCCCGAAACATCAACTTTGCTCCTCCTCTGATGCTGCCTGGCCTGCTGTGTTCCTCCAGCTCCACACTGTGTTGTCTCTGACTCCAGTATCTGTAGTTCTTACTATCTCTGAATGAAGTAGCCTGATTGGCTTAGTTGGTATCTCAATGTTATACTGATTCTCCACTGAGGCCAGAGATGAGATTTAAGCTGAATGGAGCCTCACTGTGAGAGGTCATCACTGCCTCCTCTCCATCACCCCAGCATAGACACACATCACCAGTTTGATAGCTTTGCCATGAATGACTTTTACCCTTTTTAACAACCCAGCAGAGAGGTCTGAAAGGGATTGCTGAGCATACATCATATAAAGAAGGGTCCAGACCAGAAACGTCGGCTTTCCTGCTCCTCTGATGCTGCTTGGCCTGCTGTGTTCATCCAGCTCTACACCTTGTTATCTCAGATTCTCCAGCATCGGCAGTTCCTACTATCTGTCATCATACAGGGCTGTCTGATTGGCTCTCTCACATCACTGGTTACCTGGCAACCCCATTTGGGGCTACCTGAAGGAGCTTCTTCATTGGCCAGTCTGGAAATAAGACCACACTCAACATCCTCCCATGGCCACTTCCAGGTTCGTAAATTGAGGCAGACACTTGGATTACAGCCCGAAGCAGTAGAGACTAGACTGACGAGAAGGGGAGAAAGATCTAAAGGGAAAAGTAGAAAAAAAGCAAAAGCTGAAACAAAGCTAACATTTTTAAAATGTCCACTGTGGTAAAATACTGGAGAAAAGAAACTCTCCACTTGCAATAGTTAGTTTTCAGTGTCAAAATGATTGTTTATTCATTTTAACTTTATCACATTATCAGAGGAGTACTTGGACTGGTCGTGATAAGTGGTAACTTCAGAGTTTACCTGATATCTGCCATGCAAATACAACAACTACGTGCTGTTCAATGCATTTCAATGGTGACGCAGACAAGATGATGCCATCTCTGCAGCATAAAAATTTTGAATTGAAGTTTAGCCATACATTTATCCCTTACCTGAAATTGCAGTATTATTTATGCATTAATGATTATGAGCACCATTAACCTCACTGTTATGCTGACATAAAATTCTAGCCTGTTAAGTCCAATAAATCATTAAGAAAAAAAACAGCCTGTAGTTGAATTGTCAAAAATTGTAGCCGTTCTTAAACAAAATCATGTATTTGAGCAGTGATGCTGCTGAGTGCTTAATTCAATCATTATAATGTATCTGACTATGTGGTCATTATTTCATTTTACTGCCTGTTCACAGACAGAACCCACATTTAAAAACGCGTCTCTTTCCCTATTCTCACCAGCTGCCTACAAGCAGACTGTGGTTTAATTTTTCACCCTTTTCTTTCAACAATAGGAGCATACTTTCTCCCCACTGTCTGTTTACAGCCCTCAACAATGTAATGTTGTAATGTTAAAGCAAATGAGAGTTTATTTCACTCATTCTTGGATGCAGGGAAATGGTTCACAGCATAGGCTGCTTGCAAACATCCAAAAAGAGATCAAATAGGAGGAAATAGATTATTCAACTAGAAACAATCTGCATTCAAAAAGGCCGATGGATATTATTGTACCAATGTGTGTGCTTTCACTATGGAGTCTGAGACTGGCATTAGCAATCTGGAATTCTATTGTGCTGGGCAGCCGATTGGTTAGCCAGTAGTTGAGGAGTTATTGGTAGTTTCCCGTCCCTAAAAATCTGTTCAAAGATCCCCTGAGGATGTTATTGTAATTTTGCTTCAGTGCTTTGGTGAATGAACATGTATCACATGCAGAGAGTATAAATACAGGTTATTGGCTGCTTCTTACAGACAAGAGACTATTCATTTGTAGTCCAGAGTTAGGTCTTTGATGTCATCAGTAGACATTATTAGGGAGCAGCATTGTCCCCTTAACTGACTGCTCTTTCAAAATGATATGGTTAAAAGGGGGTTGGTTCATGTGACCATGGCTTCTTGGTTGGGTGGGGGGAGGGAGGACAGTTACATCACAGCACAAGCTAGCATTGTAGATGACCAAGTGTCCATGGCCCATGTTAGGATTCAGGTTCAAGTGCAATCTCATAAAATCTTTCTGCTGGATATAAAGGTTGGAAGTAGCACTTGGAGGGTAACATCAGCCTGAAGCAGCTCATCTTTGGGCAGTAACAGAAGTCAATCAATTGAGGAAACCGAATGTCATGCACTCTTTGACTTTTTAACTCCCACATAGACTGTGTGCACCACGAATTTGAAGGGAGTAGTCAGTTGTTAAGCTGATTTGAATGTTCCTGCTGTCTTCTATGTTGAGGTTCGTCTACTATCAACCCTCACTTTCATTTTTGAGTTTTATCTCCAGATCTGGCTTTCATCAGTTCGCTGAACAGCAGAGGATTGCCTCCTCTCAGACAGAATGCAGCAGATACTCTATACTTCGGCCAACTAACGGCCCAGTCTGAAAGCCCAGAGGGTGTAAAGAAAATTCATTTATGGCTCTCGGTGCAATCTGCAACAAACTGACCCCAATCACGGCATAAGAATAATCCAATACTGAAGGACAAATGCTTTCAAACAAAATGAAAAAAAAATCACAGCTCACTGGTCTGTTATATTTTTTGTTTCTCTCCGTTTAATTTTACACCTTGTGTGAAGGAAAGGAGTGAGAGTGTGGCTAGTTATACAAATGCCTTTGTGAGTGTTGAAAGTATTTCATTGCTCTTGTATGGCACTTGCAGAACAGAATGTATTTCTCCTGCAGGGGTACTTATCATCTGATAATTTCAAGGCTATGGTACGAATTGAAATTTTCAGTTTGATGTTTACAGGAATGCAAGTGTCTTGAGTGAAGGCTTTGCAATTTGCTTCAGTCATTGTGCTCGAAGAAAGTTCTCCAGCTCCCTGTGTGTTTTCTAAGCAGCATTCTTTACAGATCTGTGCATGGAGACAAAGATTTGTTTTTGAATATAGCTACTACCCCTTGTAGTCCTATTGATAAATGCAGAGCCCTGTGGGGAACTGAGACACAGAAAACCAGAAAGGTTTGGATTTGATTCCCAATTTACTACAGGGCCAAGTGGTCTCTTTGTGTGCCATGAATTTGCTATGATTCCATGAATTTATACAGCATCCTTGCCAGGATTTTCCCTGTGGATCTAATGTGCTAGACATTAGGGAGACCAAAGCTATTGTATGTATCATAACCATCATCAAAACCTCTTTTCAAGAAAAGAGGGATGCAGAGAATAGCAAACTATAGGCTAGTTAGCCGAAAATCTGTCATTGGGAAAATGTAATTATCCATCATTAGAGAGATAGTAGCAGGACATTTAGTGAATGACAATGCAATCAGGCAAAGTCAACATGATTTTGTGAAAGGAAAATCATGTTTGAAAAAATTATTAGTATCCTTTGAAGAGGTAACAGTCAGGGTGCATAAAGGGGAATTAATAGATATGTTTGGATTTCCACAAAGCATTTGATGAGGTATCACATATACAGTTACTGCACAAAATAGAACTCCTGTCACTCAGGGTGATTATAGCATAGAAAGAGAGTTGGCTAATTAACTCTGGTGATTCAAACAAAACCCATCAAGGAAGATCCAGAGATGACAAGGTATAGAGCTGGATGAACACAGCAGGCCAAGCAGCATCAGAGGAGCAGGAAAGCTGATGTTTCAGGCCTAGACCTTTCTTCAGAATTGGGGGAGGGGAAGGGGATTCTGAAATAAACAGAGAGAGAGGGGGAGGCGGATGGAAGATGGATAAAGGAGCAGATAGGTAGAGAGGAGACGGACAGGTCAAGGAGGCGGGGATAGAGCCAGTAAAGGTGAGTGTAGGTAGGGAGTTGGGATGGGGGTTGGTCAGTTCAGGGAAGACAGACAGGTCAAGGAGGCAGGATGAGGCTGGTATTTAGGAGATGGGGGTGAGGGTTGAGGTGGGAGGAGGGGATAGGTGGGAGAAAGGA